ATATTATCCAATGATATAAGCTCCTATAATAGTTGCAATGGTTTTAATGAAAAGCTATTATTTAATTAAAGGTTTAAATACTTCAAAGCTTATTCATGATAACGTTATGAATAGCTTATTAAATGCTTCATATACAAAGTTTTATAATACAATTCTCATTGGGAGATTGATGAATAGGTTAAGTAAGGATATTTATAATATTGATTTATTATTTCCTAATGAAATTTAAAACTTAACATATCAATTAACATCCTTGTTATTACCATTATTTGCATGCTTCCTTTATTTAAACATTGCAGCATTACCTTTGTTAATTCTTTTTTTCATTATTCTGATATATTTAACAGTAATTTACTATAGATGTTTGAGAGAAATTACAAGAATTGAAGCTGTTTCTAAAAGTCCTGTTTTTTCTTTTTTTTAATAAATTGTTAGAGGAGTTACTTATGTTAGGAGTTGCTTACCAATAGAAAAAGTTGTAGCTTTATAATAAAAAAATGTTGATATTGATTTAGGAAATTAATTAAATTTGTACGGATTTTAATATTGGTATCAATCATTTGCTGGATCAATAACAAATTTCTTTTAAGCATTGTTATTTATAATTTGTGTAAAGTTTATTATTAATTAAGTTTCTCTTTCCAGGAAAGACTTAAAAAATGACTAATCTAGTCCTGTAATAGATGTAAACTGTTTCTAATTTACTTTTAAATTCTTCAATATCTTATGGAAATTTACAAATGTATTTTATCAGTTTTGAAAGATGTTTACATTTAGCAAAGTAATTACCTTTGTATGTATCTAAGTTACTTGAAACAATTTCATTAATATACTCATTAATATATATAATTCCATAAATGACTAACACTTTAATAAAAACTTAATAATCTAAATTTTTTTAGCAAAATAAAAGTCCATATTTATATTGATTTATTAATAAAATTAAAACTTTTCTGTATTAAAAATTTTCAGATCATTAATATCCTTAAAAAAATAATGATCTGAAGTTTTACCTTAATAATGATTATTTCAAATTTTTTAAATGTCGAAAAGATAAAACATCGTTTTCAAATTATTATTCATATTTTTAAAATTCAAGTTTTCCACATTTAGATAATATAATTTTAGATAAGAGTTTAATTCTACTGATATATTTTTCTGATAAGGGTTAAGCTGTTTATATTTTCACTCTTTAATCAAATTAGATACTTATTTACTATTTATTATAATGCATATTAAGATAATATAAATTGAAGTTTGGAGCTTTGAGATATGTGCATTAGCTAGTAGAATCTCTTATCATTGTTATGCATATCCAATTTTATTCAATTAAACAATTTATACATCCATCCACTGGATAATGATTTCCATCATCACATTCTTCTTATTCCTAAAGTTTTCCATCTCCACATTTTATTAATTATTTGCATCGATTTGAGATTAGCAATTCATATTGGGGTAAGCATTCTAAACAAATACCTTAATAGCAATCAAAACAATTTTATGGACAAGAATACTAGCAATTAAAACAACCATGATTTAGTTGTAAATTACCATCATTACAATCCTCTTCATTTGAGACAATTTGATCACCACAAACAGAGACAATCTAAGAGTATTTATATTTTTATCCTAGAACATTATTAACAGTTCTTTAATCAGTTTATTTCTTAAGCATGTATTGATATTAAGCATTCTAAGTACAAATAAAATCTAAATAAAATCCAATTCAATATTTTATTACTTGATGTGCTAACTTAAGATCTAAAATGAAATATTTTCAAATCAATTGATTTTTAATCACATTAACCTTTTTTCTTTCATTATTTCTATGTTTATTGTAATTTTAACTAAAAAAGAATTAAAATTTTAGATATTTAAAATAATTAATATTATATCAATTTGAATCTTTTTCAGATTTAATTAATTTTTTTTCTTAATTCCAATTATTAATCAATATTTTTATATTAAGAATATTTCTAAATCATTGATTTAAATAAATAAATGTTTTGATTTTCTTCTAAAAACACAAGTTAAAGGCAGTTATAACAAAAACTTCTAATAAATGGATAATTAATTTAATACCTAATATACTTAATTTGAAAGTTTAAATTATCATTTTTGAACTATTCTAATTTTTCTAAATATCTCTTTCCAGATTCTAAAATATCATTTGTGTCAATAAGTAATTATTCATTTCAATACTATTAATTTGAATGATAATAAAGCTTCTCAATCATTCTGTTTGATCTCTTCTGTATTATAATTTAAAAGCAAAGTAGGTAATTAACGTTTTTCTAATTTCCTCTCAAAATTTTTTATAAAAAATTGATTTACTATTTATGATTATGAAATAATTTATAATTTTTAAATTTCTATTAAAATTTAATCAAATAAATTCTAATTATTACATTCTATCATAAATTCACTACTTAATTTTTCATAAATAAACAAGAAATAAAATAAATTTTTATTAAAATAAATTTTCAATTTAACGAATACTATTTAAATTAATATGCAAGTTTTAAACATTTTAACTTATATTATCATATTATAATAGAATAATATTTTAGATTAAAGGACCTTGGCTGATATTGTTATAAATAAAATTTTAAGGGTTAGGTTATTCATATTGTTTAAGATTTAAGTTTTTTAGATTTGGTTGTATAAATTTTTCAATTATAAGAATTTGATTGATAAATTAAAAAAAATAACAATTATGGAAGGTATCATATATACTATTTGAAGAAAACTTAAAATTTATTTTTTTAGATAATTTTTCAATTATTTAATACTTCTTTTCAAACTTTTAGGGTGAAATCTAATTGTAAATAAAATTTGGACCAAATTATTTTATCCAATTAGATTTTTGAAAATCTCATTAAAATAATTCTTCATAGAGTTTAGATAAGTATTTTAAGAACACAAAAAGATGCAATCAATAGGCAATGTATTTAAAATTAAAATCTATTTCTATATTTTTATTTTTGGTCTTTTTTTAATATAAAACCTGATAAAAAAATTTAATATTACAAAAAATTCTCATGGATTAGAAAGAAAACCTATTTGAGTTGTTTGACTAAGCTAAAGATGTAAATGACTAAATATTCAGTCATATAATAGAAATTTTTCGAAAAGGTAACATATCTGATAGCCTATAATTTCTTTCAATAAATGAGAATCAAAGGCATCTTGAATAATATTTTATAAAAGTTTAGAATATCTGCTCTTTGAAAAAGGAATAGTAACAATATGAAGCAAGAAGTAACATTAAGATAGTTACTAATTTTCTTAACAAAATTAAATAAAATGGCTTTAATAAAAATAACTTTTCATCTGAAACATATCAAGAGATTAAAAAAGGGTTAATAAAGCAAATTGAACAGAATAATAAGATTGTTCAGTTGTTGAAATTTTTAGTTCATCTAACTGCTATTGATAACCAGTTTACAGTCTGTGGATCAAATTCATTGAATATACTAGTAGAAATGAAGATTGATCTAAGAAGTTAATGTTTTGAAAATATTAAAATAAAGAATACTTCTCTAATTGGAGGTAATTTTGCGAAATGTAATTTGAGTGGATCAGAATTAAACAATGTAGATATTAGTGGAGTGAACTTGAATGGGGCTTAATTATTTAACTGTAGATGGCACAATTTGAAAATACACGAATTGAATTAATTGAAAGGTCATACAGGAGCTGTCTATTCAGTTTGTTTCTCTGCTGATGGTACTACATTAGCATCTAGTAGTGATGATAACTCTATCCGTTTATGGGATGCTAAAACAGGATAATAAAAAGCCATATTGAATGGTCATAGTAATTCAGTCATGTCAATATGCTTCTCTGCTGATGATACTACATTCGCATCTGGTAGTAGGGATAAATCGATTTGTTTATGGAATGTTAAGAGAAGAAAAAAACTAGCCAAATTAGATGGCCATACAAGCGCTGTCTCCTCAGTATGCTTTTCACCTGATAGTACAACCTTAGCATCTGGTAGTTACGATAACTCTATCCATTTATGGGATGTTA